AATTACCTAATCCGGGATGGTTTCCAAAAGTCGGTATCATCTGAGTCTCTTTACCTTAATTACCTAATCCGGGATGGTTTCCAAAAGTCGGTATCATCTGGGTCTCTTTACCTTAATTACCTAATCCGGGATGGTTTCCAAAAGTCGGTATCATCTGGGTCTCTTTACCTTAAATTACGCATATCTAGCAGAAAAATAAAAGTGGAACACCATATTGTTACGTCAACATATTCCATCAACTTTCTACTTTACCAATTTCAGAATACTTGTTTTAAAAGTGAATACAAATATTGTGCAAAGTCCAACCAATAAATTTCTGAAAGATGTTTGGTTAAAGAACGGATTATGATGGAGAAAAAAGCGCTACCAATAACAAAGTTCATTTTTTCACATTCGTCACGAATCACGTTCTCTTCGTGATATTAATAATTATCAAATACAAATAATCAAAAGAAAGAGGTGTTATAATTATTAAAGTTTTATTTCTATATAGAACTTTAATTTCAGTTCATACACTTAAAACTGCAAATTTGCGTAACGCCCCCTCACGGAACAAGTGAATAATTGCTAACTATTAACATTGAAGATAAAATGTCACTAAATTACAAGAAGAAAGTTTTATTAACAAGTGTTTTTCCAAACACTTAAGAATGTTTTTCTATAACAAGATGTCTCCCCGGTAGGGCAGCGGTACGTTTATGAACTTACAAAGCTAAAACCGGGGTTCGATTCCCCGCGGTGGATACAGTAGATAGCCCAATGTGGATTTGCTCTAAAGTAACCAACCAACTGTAACAAACTAAGGTATAAACTGAACACATTTTCTGGATAAATACGGTCGAACTGGCGTAACTTACAGAAGACAATTTTATATAGCTAAATATTTCATTTTTATAGATGAATCCAGAGCACTGTGTACCTACAATTGATGACGATGGATTTGTCTTATGGGAAAGGTAAGGTTAAGATATATCTATGTTTCCACTTTTAAACGTGCATATTGTTCCGAGTTTGGTAATCTTGGAAACTGTATGATTAACCAGAATGTACATCCTACTATAACTTTGAAAAATTCTTTAATAGATAGTTTAAGCAGAGTATTCATATTGAGTTGAGTGTGAAATGGGAGGCAACTGACTATTAGATAAACACTTGTAGAAATATATAAGTGACAAAAGCGGAATATTTTCGAAACGTCGTTCTATGCACTTGAGCTGCGTAAGTAAATTGTATTGTAATCTGAGAAAAGACTTTTGTCCTCTAGCTCCACCTAGATTTTTGTATTTGTACCCATCAAATATGGTTTAATGATTCGGGATGTGTCATGACAATTTTTTTTTCTGTTAATTTAAAATGAATAGATTTACCAAGCACTGGAGCTATGAAATACCTTTCGTGATGTATATTACCGTGCATGATAAGAAGAACCAATTAACTATAGAATTGCATTGGATTTTTAAACATATTTTCTTGAAATATCATGTAGCAAATTGCCTGTGGGTCCAACACTGTTTATTACACTATCGCTGATACCATATTAACAAAAATACCATCAATATTACAGTTAATGTCACTAATAACTATTAGGTTTCCTGTGTATCTTACATAGTAAGTCGATGATGTCACCCAATTCAATTGGTTAGTTTTTTTAGTCTGAATATTGTGGCAGACAAGAACTAAAAACTCTTCAATATAATGAAATATGTGAACCTAACCGGTAATGAATGATATGTAAACAAGTCACTAATTTGATGGTTAAATCATTAACCCTTACACCTTGGTCCAGTGTCGGATGCTTCGAATGACTCTATCACTAATGGCTCTATCGTTAATCACTAATGTCTCTATCACTAATGACTCTATCAGTAATGGCTCTATCGTTAATCATTAATATCTCTATCACTAATGACTCTATCAGTAATGGCTCTATCGTTAATGACTAATGTCTCTATCACTAATGACTCTATCAGTAATGGCTCTATCGTTAATGACTAATGTCTCTATCACTAATGACTCTATCAGTAATGGCTCTATCGTTAATCACTAATGTCTCTATCACTAATGACTCTATCAGTAATGGTATCACCCCTCCTCTTGTACCAAATAAGTAATTTCTGAAATTATTTGATTACTGCAACACTGCAGGATCAGAGAATAATGAAAAGTGGTTTACACGACAAATAATGTGTCGAATATTTAAAGTGTGAGTTTAATTTACAAACTTAAATTACAGCTAAATATCAAAATGAGTTTGATTACAAATATTGAGTCGAGAACGAGGAACAATTAATTATTCGCAAATAAATACAAAAATAATGTGCTTTTTACATAATTTCACCTGCCAAAAACTTGGGCCTTTCTTATGAAGAAGCCATAGAAAACACGTGTTTAAAAGTGCAGGAAATGAAACCAGTGGTATTACATATTAGTGCTATGTGATCACGTCCAACGTTAAAGACGGGCAACAAAGGCAGCTGCTTAGGACGGCAAATACTCGGGACCTCCAGTTTGAGTAGGGGAGCAATCTTAATTTCTGCATGGGGCACCAGTTAAACTGTCGCTAGCTTTGCAAATGATCAGTATTCTCGTCTGTATATTAGTGTTATGTAATCAGTCTTCTCGTCTGTATATTAGTGTTATGTAATCAGTCTTCTCGTCTGTATGTTAGTGTCATGTGATCAGTCTTCTCGTCTGTATGTTAGTGTCATGTGATCAGTCTTCTCGTCTGTATGTTAGTGTTATGTGATCAGTTTTCTTCTCTATGTATTATATAAGTTGGTGTTGTGTGATCAGAAGAGTGTATTTTAATGTTTCTGCGATGCGATCAGTCTTGTCTTCGTAGAATAAATTGGTGTTATGTCATCAGTCCTCTTGGAATATTATATATATATTAGTGTTCTAAGTCTTCTGGTCAGAATATTACATGCTAAGTGCTATGCGATCTGAATGGTCTATGTATTGTATATTAGTAATAGTGCAATCATTCTTGTGAGCTCATACTTACATACCCCACCCCAGTGACACAGCGGTATGTCTGCGGACTTACAACGCTAGAAACCGGGTTTCGATACCCGTGGTGGGCAGAGCACAGATAGCTCATCGTGTAGCTTTGTGCTTAAACTACAATAAACATACTTACGCTCTGAGGTCTGCGTTATTTAGGTTTTTAAACAAAAATAGGTATTCAGTTCCAAGCTAGTTATTAAACCTGATGTAATAAAGATAATTACTCCCAAAATATTTACGAAAACTTAAGTATGCTTAGTATTTTATTTTTATATAACTCAACTTCATGAATCGAAAGTAAGTTTAAATATTTGTATTTAATATTGTTGTAAAAAAGGAAGTTGAACTCTCTTAATTTATATGAACAAATGCATAAGTGACCAGGTTACAATAGAGCAAATGTGGTCAATTATGTTTTAATTAACTGGAATAAACATATTATTCTAAAAGTATTTATACAAATTTTATCTCTTATTAAAAAGAATTGTAATGTCTAAACAATAAATGTGACCATTTAAATAAAATATGACGTATTTTAATAAACATCTGTGTTAACTTGACCAGTATGTATTTGTAGATATATGAGCACGATTTCATTTCAACTTTAAACGAGGATTGGTAAAATGTATGATAATAAAGAAAATTCATTTCATATTATAACTGAAGAATTATAAAGTTTGGCATGCAATGAATATTTGCAGTATGTGACAAGAGGAAAAATAATTAAAAAAGTAATTTTGATCTTACAGCCGTGCAATTATGTTGTACTTGGTGAATAAATACGCTCCAGGCAGCTCACTGTATCCTAAAGATGTCCAACAGAGGGCGATAGTTGATAGGCTATTATACTTTGATATGGGCACGCTGTTCAAATCTCAAAGAGAAGTTTTTGTAAGTATTGTTTTATTATTATTTTACCAATACACTATACAAAAAAATATCCAGATTGTATAAATATGTACATATATATTAATGCGTTTTCGGAATTCACACTGGACAAATTGTACAAATGTCCAAAATTTTACTAAAATTATAAGTTATTTCAAAGTAAAATATTGAAGACTAGCCTTTTGGGTTATAATTATAAGGATGATAACTTCGAACAAAGATTGTTTGGATGAAAACCTCAAAAAAGTGTGCTGACGATAATTTTAGATAAAGTTAAGTTGGATTATATTATCAAAGATAACTACGTAATAACTCATTTTGCTAATGTTTTGTGGGTGATGACTTCTTGAGTAAAAGTTACGCGAATGATTAATTTTCAGGTGGAAGTACTGTTAACGAAAACTCATAGAATAATTGCATACAGTTTAATAGCGTCTCTTTCTGGACAATAACATGCAAGATGATAAATGATTAATAATCCTACCCTCTTGTTAGGGGGAGCTGGTGTTTCAATACTACAGCGTCTGGTATGCCCAAATATTGATGATATTCTGTAAATTGTGTTAATACCATTTTTTTTATTTCTAATAGCTGTTATTGTGGGTATTAGATTGTAACGGTGAAAATGAACACATCGCTGCAATCAAGGTTCAACAACAAGAAACAACTTATTCACAATGACAACTCTTAAAAATTAATTCAACGCTTATCAAAACACAGTTAATAAACAAGTGCCTAGCCAGGACTTCACACCAGTATTACTCAACAATTTCTCATAAATATTAATAAATCAATAATAGTGGAACTAGAAAAAGAGCCAGAAAGAAAAACCTTGTTCCCAAAAAAAATTCTGTAGATTACAATATCCTAACAAAACCTTTCAATGTCGAGTGACAAACAACATCTATATCCTTCCAAAACTATTTCGTGACATTCTATCTCTCTCTCTCACGAGAGTACAAACTCATGTGATCATTAATTTACCTACTCTTCTGCTACATTAATAGTATCTGTACGTCACCGCTAGGGGAGCTGGTTTCAGCTTCATCATACGCATATATTTACTAAAAATACAAATATTTAGCTAAAAGGTGAGTTAGCGTTTTAATGCAACTAAAAATTCATAGATAAACTAACGACATAAGACAATAATAAATGATAGATAAACACAACCATAATCATAAAAAAAAATTGAATTTGATATTTCACAAGATTATGTTGACTAACTAACGTTTTTCGTTGCAGTATCCCCAAGTTTTCAAAGGTGAAGCTCCAAATCCAGAAAGTGAAAAAAATTATCAAACAGCTTTGGGCTACTTGGAAGGATATCTTTCAAAATCTGCCTATGTGGCTGGAGACAAGCTTACCCTGGCAGACATTTCCATCATAGCTTCTCTTTCGATGATGGAAGTAAGTTGAAAAAACATAAAAAGCCTGAGAAAATATGCGGTTATTGTTATTAAAGCTCGATATTTTTACGGACTCTATCATTTGTAAAATATTACACGAGTTTGAATTATATCTTGATGAGTCAACCATTTTCATTGTTACCTCATCCAGTGGAACAGCTGTAAGGATGTGACACTAGAAACCGGGTTTCGATACTCGTGATGGGCACAAAACAGATAACCCATTGTGCAACTATGTGCTTAACTGCAAACAAATAAAGTTCATCGGATGTAGGTTGACCCTGTGTCGATCTCTGGATTTCGGAGCTGGGCTCGAATCAGTAAAATTCCACAAACTATACCTCCTACAACTTTAAGCTGTGGGTGCATTTTAAGAGTGGCAATCAATTGCTTAACGTGGAGAGTAAATAGTATGGTGCTACATTTTAAGAGTGGCAATCAATTGCTTAACGTGGAGAGTAAATAGTATGGTGCTACATTTTAAGAGTGGCAATCAATTGCTTAACGTAGAGAGTAAATAGTATGGTGCTACATATTGGTTTCTTTTCTTTTGGTCAGTAGTTCAAAATTATGAACGGTGACAAATACAAATTACTTCATGAGCCTGCAAACATGTTCAATAGCAATGCTAAAATAAAGAAGTTTCTTTGAATTTATAGAGAATTAAATAGTCTACCTTTTAGATTCAAGAAGGCTTCTCTGAAAAATTGTCATCAGTGAATCATCATCATCAGGTAAACCATGATTACAGCTGGGCAGGAATCGTAAATAAATTTTGGCTTTCTACATTTTCAGTTCCTTTGAAATTAATGATGTATTTCATTTCAAAAACAAATAGTGAAGGTATCTTGATATTACACATGTGATGATACTGTGAGAAATCTAGAACCATCTTGTGAGAAGTGTAGAGGTATTAATTTTTTTATAGGTTACTGTAGGAGTGATGATCAAAACACTCTGTTAAACTAATCAAGCTCAGCCCATGAGTTGACGCTGTTAACTAGTCTATCAGTTCAAAATTAAAGATTTGTACAAACATTTTATAAACAGATAAACAAACAAACTTAAAGTTCTTAAGAGATATATTATACCGTAATTAAATATTGTGTTCATCTGACGTTGTTGTTTTTGCTGAAAAATCGGATAATTCTGTTTATGTATACTTCTTTCTCTTCAGGTATTGGATTATGATATCAGCACTTACCCCAACATCTCTGCCTGGAAAGCTAAAGTTAAAGAAGAAGTTCCAGATTACAAATCTATTAATGACGAACCTCTTCAAGGTTTCAAGGCTTGGGTTAAGTCTAAACAAGCCCAATAAAGCAGTTAAAATAAATGTTTTTCATCTATTAACGACGAACCTCTTCAAGGTTTCAAGGCTTGGGTTAAGTCTAAACAAGCCCAATAAAGCAGTTAAAATAAATGTTGATTTTCTTATCACAGAATTTTCTGTCGGTAAATATTATTTTAAACAAAGTTCTTTTGTAATTGATTTGTACGCGGCCGAATTACGTTAATTATAATTCTGTGTATTCAAACTGTTGGGCTGAAAGATATTTTCAATGACAATGCTACAATAAAGAAGTTTTCTTTGAATCTATAAAGAATAAATGATGATTTAAATAGTCTATCTTTTAGATTAAAAGTATATTTTCAAGTTTTCAGGACTCACCGATGTTGACAGAATGTATTAGTTTTCTGGAATGTACAGGATGTACGTCATTTCTTTAAACGCCACACAAATCTGATCGTACAAAAATTCCATAGTGAAAAATTGTATAATTATGTCACCCATGCAAAATGGAGAATTTTGAGAGTAAATGCAATACGTAGTGCATGCTCATGGTTTTTAGGGAGACGTTATATCCTTTTTAACACAGGATCTCTCCCTCATTCAGTGACAAAGTAGTGTTTTTGGGTGACAGGGCAAGGGACAAGAAATCCCGGAAGTTGTTTCTTCGAAGTGTTGCACACACCGCTGGAATTTTCGGAATTTGCTGTATTTAAATATGCGGTCCATATAATGATAACGTATTTCAGTCAGAAGTTACAAGCAGTTAAAAGAGACTGCACCACCTTACCAGCTGCGGTCACACACACACGAATTGAATCTCTTTTTTTTTATTCTAAAATTAAATTATGCGAACTTTTACATTGTTTGTTTAATGTCGAAAACCTCGTTCTTTGCATCAACATGAGGTGATCGCATCCACAGCCGCTGCCCATGTAAATCAAACAACTTGGAACCTTGCCATGCGGGTAATTGAGGGAATAATGATGAATGATGAGATGCCGAAGAGTAGCAAAGTTTCAGTCACAGTCTGAAAAACAGATAAAATGAAGGGCGATGAAGAAGGAGACTCACATAACGGATCAGTCTGTTACACAACAAGAATTGCTGTCATTAACTATGGAATTTCTGCTAATGATGTGGCAAGTTGTAACTCGGTCATTTCTTACCGATTTGGAAACTTTATAGTGTAAGCGTCATACCTATCGTACACTGCATACTTATTTATAAATTCCCACAAACTCGGATAAATCCTGGATTTTATACGTCCAATCCATGCCACTAGGCGCCTCTGGTTAAGGTTAAGATCCTATGTTAATAAAAGAAAAAAAAACATTAAACCAATTTCTATGAGTTTAATATGTGAATTTGTAGTAAAATGTAATGGTGACTTACGCATACAAATTACTAAATATTTTCAAGAAATTTATTATAATCAACATTTTATTAAAGTATAAATGTAACAATAACAGTGATAATTACGACACACTGTTTGTTAGAACTTTTACTTAATATCGAGTTGCACCACAATGGTCAACAGAATTATGTCTGAAATAGGCAAGAGGGTGTCTTGTTTGTGTAGTTCATCCTTGAGGAGTATAGTCATTCACGGACAGAGGGGCGGACCTGGATTCAGTAGGTAGTGAGTCGAACTATAGATCTACTAGTCCTTCGTTCGCGCCCTGTTACCACAAAAAAAATTGCTCCATACTTTGCAGCATTGGGCGCATCATAGGGGTGACTGTCAAATCCCACTATTTGGTCAGGCAAGAGTTGGCGGTGAGTATTGCTACTAGCTGCTTTCTCTCTAGTCTATCAGTTCAAAATTACGCAGGACTAGCTCATGTAGCCCTTGAGTACCTTTGCGCGAATATCCGGAAAAAAAAAGAATAAAACTTTAATAAAAAAGTATTGTGGCGAATGCGATGTTAAAGTTCACACCAAAAATTCTGAACTGGTTCATGAAAACTTGGTATATTTTTACTATACAGTTAATCGATAAGAAGGAGAAGCATGTCTTGCTATATCATATTAAATATTTTTACTCATTCATTTTCCCCCGTCCCACCAAACATGGTCGTCCTTTCAGCCGTGGGGGCGTTATAATGTGACGGTCAACCCCACTATTCGTTGGAAAAAGAGTTGGCGGTGGGTGGTGATGACTAGCTGCCTTCCCTCTAGTCTTACACTGCTAAATTAGGGACGGCTAGCGCAGATAGCCCTCGTGTAGCTTTGCGCGAAATTCATAAACAAACAAACATTCATTTTCCACAATTTCCGCTCGAAGCACAACTACAGCTTTGTCACGTTGTATTGTTGTGGCCTCCTGTACGTGAAACTTTTAACAAAAAGTGTGTTCCTTTCCTCAATATCAGTAGATTTTAACTTGGTGAAGACAATTTTAGATTCGTTGGAATTATTTATTTAAACGCAAGGTGAATCATCAAGAACGTGGTTAATAAATCTTTAATAATTAATATAAGAACTATATACCCTATTTTGCCTTGTCCAGCTTTTAGGGGATTATAATTTTTATAAGTTAAAACTCACGATAAATTAAATAACGTCTGAAAAATTAAATTTTAAAAATATAACTTAAAAATATAATTATAAGGGAAAACAGTGTAAATATTTATTGGAGCTTAAAACTTAAATCGGATAGAAATAAAATTGAAGATTAAAACCGATAAAAATCGAAAACCAGTAAAATAATTTCAAATATCAAACCTTTCACAAAATGGCTACTTTAATAAGTAAAATTTGAAGAAAACAATTTTGTTTAAAAAAATCTAGATTTTAAAGTGAAAATAAGCATACGTCTTGATAAAGTTTGCTGAATTCTTAGGATTATCACAAATGATGTTTGTAATGTTGTTCTTTCGTTGGCACGTTCTTTTAAATTATCTGGTGAATATACTGCGAAGTCCAGTCAACAATATAACAAATTCGTTTATTTCCTCATTTAACGTTTTTACGAGCTTGTTCACTGCGAGATTGTACACTTTCATAACTTGTTGTAGGCCTACGTTACAATTACAAATGACATTTAAACCTTTCTAGCAACCTGGGACTAACGTAAATTCAAATCTATTTACTTACGCAAAGTAACCGCCATAGCTAACACTTGACTGATTCACTCTAAGCGCATGATGTTAAGATTGGCTTAGAACGCCTACAAAGTTTTAAGTTGACGTCAAGTTTACTCGTACATTCGAAGCTATACGGAATATTTGTTTAAAGAGTAGAGTAAATTGAAAGACAGTCGAGGACATGGTAAAAAGATTGTAGAGAGTAGAAAGTTTTCAAGAACATAACTCTAACTAAAGTACAAATTACAGAATTAAAAATATATCTTACAACAATAATAATTTAATTTTGTTTGTTATAAATAGGTTAAATTAATACTTGTTATATGCTAATTGGTATATAGAGTAGTAATTTTGTGGATTGTCGTATAACTCTTAAAACAGCCAGTATCCAAGGAAAATCATATATTTCCTCAACGTCTCAACTTACAGCTTTATCAAAAGGTTGGTCTTTAATTTAACACAAGCCCAGTCTTAGTAGAAAAACAGTTGTTGTAATTCGAATTAATGAACATTTATTCTTATGTGTCATCAGACATGCGACGACGTTACCAAGAATAAAAAAAAGTGCCAATAACAAACGCATTCGTGAATTTTACTCTTCTTCACCCAAAGTTTAATTTCCGGGAAGAAAAGAAAGAATCAGTGAATGATGTAAAGACCTAATGTATTATTTTTCTTCTACAGTAGAGTAGTTTCTCTGAATTCACGGCTCATCAGAACTGCTTAGAAGAGCGAATCAAATAAATACGTTAAGCTTTATATTGTGGTGGAATGTAAATTATTAATTTTTATTCAGCAGACCAACTGGTTGTTTATTGGTGAATTGTTTTCTTTTTCAACAAGACGTGTAATTTCAGAAAAAAAAGAAGGGATCCGTGAATGCTCTAGAGACCAATCTTTTCTTTAATTTGCTACTCCCTCTGCAGTATACTAGTTTCATTAAAATCACTTTTTGGTGGAGAAGCAAGAAATTCACAAATACATTACCAGCTAATCCATTGAATATAATTGATAATTAATTGTGACAGAAACTAGTGGTGAGTAAATCATTTTAACTCTTCCAAACCTTTTGGTGTGGTCTTTTTGTTCTGAATGTGATTTGGATTAAGTATAGCATACGGGCTTAATCTTCAAGCTCCACCGTTTTAACTTCCGTCTTGTCCTTTCTCATTGTTAGACGTGTCAGAGTATCCATTGGAGGAGCTCTTTGTTGTTTCTTCTTGCTATATTCTAGTATGTCTCAAGGATCAATATCGTCTCTTCTCCTTTTTATCATATATATTGCTCTTGATTCGTAGTTCATCTTTTTCAATATATTTATCACACAGCTCTTGGAGCCACCTGCCTAAATGTCATCACCCTCAATAAAGTTTTACAGTCGGCAGTCAACGCCTTTTTGGCTTGGAACCATCACTGGCGTCTTTCCATTAATTTTGCCAAGACCAGAGTCATACGTTTTAATACTAAACGCCATAAATACCGTTCTTGCCACAACTCATTTAATGTCTGAATTGACGATATCTCCATTCATCTCTCGGATGCAATCAAATATCTCGATATTCTTTTCGACAAACATCTTACCTGGAAGGCTCAGATGACTTCACTCAACCAAAATGTCACCTCCCATCTGCATCTCCTCCATCTGTCAAGAACAATTACAAGACCTTTTCAAACCTGTCTCACTTATGGTCACACTACCTATTTCTCTGCCCCTTCCAACTTTCGTCATGGACTACATGTTGTAAAATATCGTGTTCTTAGATCCGTATTTCATGTCTAACTACCTAGTACTAAACAAGAATATATATATGCATCACTTTCCCACCAGTTCTCATCCATCTCTGAGATCTTAGCATCCGATATGTTCACCAAAGTTTTCACTATTGTGATAATTTTACAAAGGACACTTAAGCAAAAATACTTCACTAGTGGTAATACGACTAACACAAATATAAACTTATTTGCATTTCACGGCTTATTGATCGAGTAACTGAATGTCCACGATAACAAACACTGGTCCAAATACATAACTAAAACTAAATATTCCACTGAACTAAAATGATTGGCGCTACCAACTGAAAGCTAAGCACTGACTCGTTCACTGCTAGCTTAGTTATTGACTGACTCACTAGTATTTGTGTCCAATGTCTCACTTCTAGATACATATCAAAGTTACCAGATTCTTGATGTCAAATTTAGAACTTTTAAGGTATTGCCGTCATTCTCTGTAACTAGCTGTCTGATTAATTCTTTCAGTTTTCTAGACTATTGTTAGAGGGAGTTGATGTTTCAATACTACAGAATCTGATATTCTCATAACTTCTAGATTGTTTCTTTAGTAGTTCATTTGCAAATTTAATGTATTCTAGTTCCCTTTCTAACCATAGAGCTATTTTAAAGATGTACACCTACTTTGTTTCAGCTTGATTCTCATATCGTTGTTTCTTATAGCATTTATAAATTGGTCACGTGCCAACGAATCCATCATTTCACGACAAGATTCTGTGTAAGATAACTGGGCAAGCCTTTCCAACTCTAATGCCAGTATGGCTAAGGTCTATTCATTCCTCTGTACCATTTTAATGAGCTTTTCTGGGTACATTCTTCTCGTGAGTCACTCCAAACCTGTTGGATATGACAACTATTAGTACTTCATAGCTGTAACGGCTCTCAGTTGGAAGATTACTTAATGTTGTTAAAGCTGGTCCTTTTAAATAGACAGCAAAATTAATAGCCTGTTGGTTGTTATTCCACCCATTCATTCTGTTAATTATTTTCATCTGAGCCTGATATGCCTCCCACAGTATCTTTGCATTATAGTCCATTAGCTTCTTTATTGGCTGATGTTAAACTGGCCAGATGAATTTTGGAACTGGATTTGATAGTCACATGATTGGAGTAATCCAGGAAAGTCCTACAGTAACAGATGGCACAGCATTAGTGCTAATAGGTGTATCCCAAATAAGTTCTATCATTTTATTTTGTAATAGATGGTATTTTAGGTTGTAACTCTCGAGCTGAGGCAAAAAAGTGGTATGACAGGTTTAATATTTTAATTTAAAGATTCGTTTTCCAAATGCTTTATTCAGTTACTAATGTTCTGTTCTTCCTCAGTGATGCTATTTTCTAGCTCATTGATGTTTTTTTTTACTTCATCATTGTCATTACAACCTTCCTGTACTTCTTTCATTTCCTTCTGCATTTCTTAAACCTTGTAATTGTAATCCCTCTATATGTCCATTATAGCTTCATCAATCAATCAGAGTTATTTTTCATTTTAATACTTCTTTAAATAATATGTCTCTTTCCTTTAACTCCTTTCTTAAATCCCTGTCTATTACCCCTTGATATTTGCAACTTTCTTGTCAAGTTCTAAATTTCTGTCCTTTTCTTCTTCTTCATTTTTAAGTTTCTATTACTTCTTGGTCTCCTTCTAATTACCTATCTCATTCTTCTTGGTTTTACTTGAATCTTTTGTCTCATTCTTCTTGACTTTCTTTTTCTTCATTTTTTCTTCATTCACTACAACAAATCTCTGATATCACTTTGTGAGATCATCTCGAAAGTTGAATTTATTACTCAGTGTTCCATTTTATTCTCACTAAAATAACCTCACTTCTGACATCAATGTTATAACATTGTTCTTTCTTTGGACGATTTATTGTAAATTATTTGTATAAAATAATTCATAGTCCAGTCCATTTAACGATAAAAATTAGTATAGTTCTTCCTTAACGTTTCTACAAGTTGTATTTACTTGTACACTGTTGTAACTTGTAGGCAAAAGTAACTTTACAAATGATTCTCAAACAGAAATACCTCGCTATTGATACTGTGACTAACATGAAAAATAAGCTTAATTGTGCAATTTCTCAGCTAATCAAACGAGTAATTGAATATACACAATAACTAACACTTATCCAAATGTTTCACTAAAACTATATAAATCATTGAACTAAAGTGACTGGCACTACCATCTGAAAACAAAAACACTGGCTGATTCATTGCTAGCTTTCTTATTGACTCGTTCACTAGTATTCATGTCACACTTCAAGATATTCTTCGAAGTTACTTGATTCTTGATGTCAAACTGAGAATTTTCTGAGGGCCTACTCCTCACTCGACCTCAACATCATGAACTCCCCCCCCCAGCCAACATACGAACTAAAACATTGATAATAATCTCTTCTTTAATTACAAAAAGGATAATAGGAGATAATTTAACTGCAATTCCTTTATAATTGTCTACAACCCCTTATGAAAAATTATTATTTACAGCCAACAAGGCTTATATGGCTTTGAATTCAAAGTAGGCCTAGCCCTTATCTAGAAGCAATTAAAGAGACTGGATAAAGATAGTGAATAATAGTGACGAGTTAATTCGAATAGTTTTGATGAGGTATACAGTGATACTGAAAAAAGGAAAAGAAGCTAGAAACCAAGGCCCTTCGCATAGTTACCAACTCTATAAATGTAGTACATTTCATCATGTTTCAATTTCAAATACACAATTAGTTTGTGTTTTGTTTTATTAGATACAATGTTACCATGCGCTCATTTAATATGTCATAATTGCACTGTTACTATGTGTCATAGATCTAGTATTTAGCTTTAATTACCATTAGAATTACTGTGGGTTGAATTATAAGTACACTAATAAAACAGGAATAATCATATATCTAATGTTAAATTTAATTTGAATTTAGTTTTAGTACATGTAAAAGGTATTTTGAAACAGAGACTAATCTATTGACAAGATCAATGTCAGTGTTAAACCACCTGGAGCATACTAATGTGCAGCATTAGGGTGGATGAATATCTGAAATACTGGATCCATGGATATCACACATTAGATCTTAAAGCTGTGACAGATAGTACAACATATACTAGGAAAGTTTCCAGACCATTCTGTTACTAAAGAGTAGAAGCAACACAGAGATGCCTAGTTACAAGATATAAGTAGAGCTGATTGGTTTAAGGTCCCGAACTACGGAGGCATCTTGATGGTGTGAGTGTATCTTTATACCCTATTGGCTTTTGTATGCTTCCATCAAAATAGAGAGCT